CAGCCCCGGGCTGGGGGTCGCCTTCTCCCTGCCTTTCCTTTTTCTCCGCTCGGAGGCCGCCGGCGAGCCCCGGCCAGCACCGCCGTTACTCGCTGGCTTTACCTTTCTTGTCCGCCTTGGCGTCCTTGGCCGAGTCCATTTCCACGTAGCTTTTAACGTAGTAGGAGCCGGGGAAGGCGGCGGCGGCGGCTTTGGCCGGGTGCGCCTCGGGCAGCTCCTCCCGCCGGTCGGGCAGGGCCGGGGGCTCGGCGCTGTACGTCTCCTGCTTGAAGGTGGCCAGCATGCAGGAGGGGGAGGCCAGCGAGGAGAGCTCCATGGAGGCCAGGCCGCTCTGATGCTGTTCCAGGTTCAAAATATCCTTGACCGAGAAGGGTGTCGTGGTCACAGGGCTAGGAAACATTGCGGAGGAGAGCGGGGCAGCGGCCGGAGCCCAGGGTCATGGAAAAGTAGGTGAGGAGCAGCCAACCTGGAGCAGTGGTGGAGCGTGGGCTCATGGAGGGGGCACATAGCATTCCCGCGAGTAGCCTTGACTTGTGCACTGGAGGCAGGTAGGACCAGACCATAAGGGAAGGGAAGGAGGGACTAGGCAGTTTTTGGGTGACTTTAGCTTTCTATTGGCCAACATTGCAGTGATGGTATGAGAGATGCAAAGTTCCATGTCACCTAATATAGTAATACATCTCAAAAACATCCCCACTCGTTTAAAGGGGCGGCACTGTATTTATCCAGCTTTTCCTCGCCGAGTTTGTTGATCCATTAAAAAAAAATCCAGAATGGCCTAATGTGTACAAAGCCACTATCTGATGCCATCTATCATACAGTCAGATTAAATAAACAGGCCGGGAGGAAACCATCAACCAAATATGTGCTGATTTCATTTTCTTTTTAAGCGAGTGAACGGAGGTTTCGTTTTTAGTATTCTGCAGTATCCGATCGCAGGAACTAGAAAACGGGAGTTCACGGTTGTGCGAAGCACGCTCAAGGGGCAATCCGCGCTTAAGGTTTATACAGATAATCTGAAGCAGCGCAACGCCCGCAAAATCCAGCTGATAGGAGAGAGCCCCTAAACAGCCCCTGCCTGGCTTTGGAGGGGGAAATGCCGGCTGGGTTTTCCCCGCGCCTGTTTGTAAAGCTTTCAAACCAAAAAACAGCGCTGGCTGAAAACCAAAAAAACAACAAAAAACCCAACCCCCAAAAAACCAACCGCGGGTTGAAGGCGTTGCAAAATGTACAGGGGTCCTGGGGGCAAGAGAGGAGCGAGTCAAAGCAACCGGCCGCTGGGCTGCGGCCAGGAGCCGGGGGCGAGCCCCGGTGCCGGCCGGGTCCCCGCTGCCCGGCAGGCCCCTGGATTCACGGGGCAGGAGGGGGAGCTCATTAGCG